GTGTGTGTGTGTGTTTGTGTCTGTGTGTGTATTATTGGTACTGGGTGTGTGTGTGTTTGTGTCTGTGTGTGTTGTTGGAACTGTGTGTGTGTGTTTGTGTGTGTTGTTGGTACTGTGTGTGTGTGTTTGTGTGTGTTGTTGGAACTGTGTGTGTGTGTTTGTGTGTGTTGTTGGTACTGTGTGTGTGTGTGTGGGTTTGTGTGTGTGTGTGTGTGTGTTTGTGTGTGTTGTTGGTACTGTGTGTGTGTCTGTGTGTATGTTGGTACTGTGTGTGTATTTGTGTGTGTTGGTGGTACTGTTAGGATCTGTGTGTGTGTTGTTGGTACTGTGTGTGTGTGTGTGAGTGTGTGTTGTAGGTACTGTTTGTGTGTTTGTGTGTGTTGTTGGTACTGTGTGTGTGTGTGTGTGTGTTGTTGGTACTTTGTGTGTTTGTGTATCTCTGTGTGTAGGTGTGTGTGTGTGTGTGTTGGTGGTACTGTGTGCGTTTGTGTGTTTATCTCTATGTTTGTGTTGTTGGTACTGTGTTTGTGTGTGTTTTTGTGTATTTTTGGTACTTTGTGTGTGTGTGTGTGTGTTTGTGTGTTTGTTGTTGGTACTCTGTGTGTGTGTGTTTTTGTGTGTTGTTGGTACTCTGTGTGTGTGTTGTTGGTACTGTGTGTGTGTTTGTGTGTGTGTGTTGGTACTGTGTGTGTGTTTATGTGTGTTGTTGGCACTATGTGTGTGTTGTAGGTACTGTTTGTGTGTTTGTGTGTGTTGTTGGTACTGTGTGTGTGTGTTTGTGTGTGTTGTTGTTGTGTAAGTGTGTGTGTGTGTGTGCGCTCGTGTGTTGTTGGTACTGTGTGTGTGTGTGTGTGCGCTCGTGTGTTGTTGGTACTGTGTGTGTGTGTGTTTGTGTGTTGTTGGTACTGTGTGTGTGTGTGTGTGTGTGTTGTTGGTACTGTGTGTGTGTGTGTGTATCTCTGTGTGTATGTGTGTGTGTGTTGGTGGTACTATGTGTGTTTGTGTGTTTTTGTGTATTGTTGGTACTCTGTGTGTGTTGTAGGTACTGTTTGTGTGTTTGTGTGTGTTGTAGGTACTGTTTGTGTGTTTGTGTGTGTTGTTGGTACTATGTGTGTGTTGTAGGTACTGTTTGTGTGTTTGTGTGTGTTGTTGGTACTGTGTGTGTGTGTGTGTGTGTGTGTTTTTGTGTGTTGTTGGTACTGTGTGTGTGTGTGTGTGTTTTTGTGTGTTGTTGGTACTGTGTGTGTGTGTGTGTTGTTGGTACTGTGTGATTGAGTGTGTGTGTATCTCTGTGTGTATGTGTGTGTGTGTGTGTTGGTACTGTGTGTGTGTTGTTGGTACTGTGTGTGTGTGTGTTTTTGTGTACTGTTGGTACTTTGTGTGTGTTTGTTTGTGTGCGTGTTTGTTGTCAGTACTGTGTGTGTGTGTGTGTGTGTGTGTGTGTGTTTGTGTGTGTTGTTGGTACTGTGTGTGTTTGTGTGTTTGATTGTTGTTGGTACTGTGTGTGTGTTGTTGGTACTGTGTGTGTGTGTGTGTGTGTGTGTGTGTGTGTTGTTGGTACTATGTGTGTGTGTGTGTGTGTGATGTTGGTACTGTGTGTGTGTGTTGTTAGTACTGTGTGTGTTTGTGTGTTTGATTGATTGTTGTTGGTACTGTGTGTGTGTGTGTGTGTGTGTGTGTGTGTGTGTGTGTGTGTGTGTGTGTTGTTGGTACTGTGTGTGTTTGTGTGTTTGATTGTTGTTGGTACTGTGTGTGTTTGTGTATCTCTGTGTGTATGTGTGTGTGTGTGTGTGTTGGTACTATGTGTGTGTGTGTGTGATGTTGGTACTGTGTGTGTGCGCGTGTGTGTGTGTTTGTGTGTTGTTGGTACTGTGTGTGTGTGTGTGTTGTTGGTACTGTGTGATTGAGTGTGTGTGTATCTCTGTGTGTATGTGTGTGTGTGTGTTGTTGGTACTGTGTGATTGAGTGTGTGTGTATCTCTGTGTGTATGTGTGTGTGTGTGTGTTTTTGTGTGTTGTTGGTACTGTGTGTGTGTGTGTGTGTGTGTGTTGTTGGTACTGTGTGATTGAGTGTGTGTGTATCTCTGTGTGTATGTGTGTGTGTCTGTGTGTTGGTACTGTGTGTGTGTTGTTGGTACTGTGTGTGTTGTTGGTACTGTGTGTGTTGTTGGTACTGTGTGTTTGTGTGTATCTCTATGTATTGTTGGTAATGTGTGTGTGTGTGTTTTTGTGTATTGTTGGTACTTTTTGTGTGTTTGTTTGTGTGCGTGTTTGTTGTGAGTACTGTGTGTGTGTGTGTGTGTGTGTGTGTGAGTGTGTGTGTTGTTTGTACTGTGTGAGTGAGTGTGTGTGTGTTTTTGTGTGTGTGTCTGTCTGTGTGTGTGTGTGTGTGTGTGCGTGTGTGTGTGTATCTTACATTTCTTCAGTCCTGGTTTCATCCTGTTCTCCCCTCCATGATCCACCCTGAATAACAAACACACACACACAATAATTAAAACTACTAATTGTAATCAGTCGTAGTAAATGAGTATCAGTTGAAATAAATCAGTTTTAAGGAACAATAGCAAATCAGTAATAAACAGTAGTAGTAAAGCAATAATAAGCAGTACTAATAAGGCAGTAATAGGCAGTAATCGTAAGTCAGTAGTAATCAGTAGTAGTAAGTCAGTACTAGCAGTGGTAGTATTTCAGTAACAAGCAACAGTAGTAAGTCATAATTAAGCATAAGTAGTAAGTCAGTAATAAGCTGCAGTAATAAGGCAGTAATAAGCAGTAGTAGTAAATCAGTATCAGTAGTGGTAGGTCTGTAGGAGCCAGATCTTAGTTTAAATTGATTTTCCTTGAGGGACTCTTATTTTGACACTTGCCACATGATACACCACCAGTTAGGATGGCATCTTCTTTAGGCACAGGTTCAGCCTCATAGCTTAGACATGGAGGACGCTGGGAACAATCAGTTTTACCGCTCATGCTTATCGATTAAAGCTCACTGATTAACGCCCAACCTTCTACACACTCACCTCAACCTTCTACACACTCACCTCATAATAAGTCAGTAATAAACAGTAGTAGTAAGTCAGTAATAAGCAATATTACTAAGTCATCAATAAGCACAAGTTGTAATCAGTAATAAGTAGCAGTAATAAGACATTAATAAGCAGTATAAGTAAGTTAGTAATAAGCACAAGTAGTAGACAGAGAGAGAGAGAAAGAGACAGTGAGAGAGAGAGACAAAGAGAGACAGAGAGAGAGAGAGACAGAGAGAAACAGAGACAGACAGAAACAGAGAGAGAGAGAGAGAGAGAGAGAGTGAGAGAGAGAGAGAGACAGAGAGAAACAGAGAGACAGACAGAAACAGAGAGAGAGATAGAGAAACAGAGAGAGAGTGAGAGAGAGACAGAGAGTGAGAGAGAGAGAGACAGAGAGAAACAGAGAGACAGACAGAAACAGAGAGAGAGAGTGAAACAGAGAGAGAGAGACAGAACTCTGTCTGTTCTGCATCAGAACAACAACAACAACAGCCAGCAGGAGAACTGCACTCTCTACTACAGCAGCAGAGAGACGAGATCAGAGAACCACAGCAGGCCATGAGAGAACCAGAGGACGACAACCAGTATCTGAGAACGGCTTTACGGAGAGTGACAGAGGAGCTGACCACAGTCACACAGTCCACCACCCCGACCCAGACACTGCAGCACAGCCAGAGTGAGGAGCAACCACAGACCAAGAATGGGCTCACTTCGTCCCCCACCCTCACCCCCTCTAAAGCACCACCGCTGATCCAGCCCTCACATTCTACCCTTCCCACTTCTTTCTCCTCACCCTCTACAACCTCTACCCCCCCGAAACCACTCTACCAAAACCCACACAGACGCTCACAACGGACCTCCACAACACTGTAAAACCTGCACACAACACTCAGACACCACCACCCTCTGAGAAGAAACAGCACCAAATAATATTCATGAGTGACTCCAACGGGAAATATGGGGACATGAAGCGTCTTTTCCCAAACAAAAACTCAACAAAGGTCTGGACTCCAACCACATCAAAAGCCACTGATCAGCTATCAAGCATGGATCGAGAAGGAGTTCAGCACATCATCATTCATACCGGAACCAATAATCTCACTGAAGGAGGCAGAAACATACCTGAAGCACTCAAACAAACAGCCATGAGAGCCAGCAGGAGATTCCCCACAGCTACAGTCACCATCTCCACCTTACTACCACGACTGGACGCACCACAACACGCCATCAACAACATCAATGCACTACAGACTGTGTACACAGGTACCAAGTGTTCAAGTAGTGCTTCATGGACAAATTCTTCATGCACACCTGTACGATCGACTCCATCTCAACCAAAAAGGAGTGAAACTATGTGTAAAAAACATTAAAGACACAGTTCTACACCAGAACAGACCTACAGTCCACTCCAGACTGGGACGCCCAACTGAACAGCTCTACTCATCCCAGAACCTTCACCCCAGCAGAGCAGCCAGAGACCCCAGAGAGGTTTTCAGTGCCTCCACCCCCACTTCACTGCACACCCCACATCACCAGCCTCTTCAAATCCAGAACAACCACAGCCTCAGACCACCCCTCATTCAGCACCACAGCCTGAGACTTACGCTGCTGTAGTGGCCCGAGGAACTCCACCTGCACCCACCCAGCTACAGTCCAGTCAGATAAGAGACTTTATCACCCTGGTCTGTCACAAACTACTTAACTAGTTCTACTTTCTACTGTTTTACTTGTATTTGTTTAAATATGTGTTTAAATATGTGTATATATATATATATATATATATATATATATATATATATATATATATATCTTTTAAATTCAGATACATTAGTCATTACTATTAATTCACTTGAGATTATTCGAAAAACAGTGATTACTTCATCTTATGGTTAGATGATTGGTTATAGATTGGATACCTCTTTGTGAAATACCTGTAATTGACTGACAATGGCTTCTTTTTCAGTTAGTTGTTGGAATATTCAAGGTTCATTCTCTTCAACATTTGGTTCAAAATTGACGAATCCAGATTTTGTAAATAGTGTATATAATAGAGATTTAATCATCTTACAAGAAACATGGGATAACCACATCAATTCTCTCTGCCCAAACCATTACACAGAACTACACGCACCTCCTACAAAACACCATCATATCAAAGCTGGTAGAAACTCTGGTGGTTTACTTGTGTGGTATAAAGAAGAATACAGATCATTTATAACCCCAATCAAAACAGGTAAAAACCATCTATGGATCAAAATTAACATGAATCTGTTAGAAACTGACAGAGATGTCTATTTATGTACAGTTTATATACCTCCACCAAATTCTCCTCATTATTTAGAAGACACCTTTGAAAACCTTCAAAAGGAAATAAGCCATTTTCAGAGCTTAGGCTACATTTTGCTCTGCGGTGATATAAATGCTAGAACTGGCAGAGAACAAGATTTTATTGATTTAGAGGAAATTACACACGTACCTAAACAAACCCCCTCTACCACACACATATAACAACTCAGAGACAAAGTTACGACAGTGTAATTAACAAACATGGGAAACATGTTCTTCAGTTATGTAAAAGCCTCAGTCTGTACATCGTCAATGGCAGGACGAGAGGAGATTCCCTGGGCAGATTCACCTACTGCTCTGTACTGGGCAGCAGCGTAGTAGATTACGCCACCACAGACATGAATCCTGGACACATCAATGCTTTCACAGTCTTACCACAACTCCATTTATCAGATCACAGCCCAACAGTACTATACTGAAAAAATCAACAAAAGAAAAAAACAAACAAGTCCAAAACAAAGAACCCAAAAACATACAGATGGACAGAACAGAGCATCACTGATTACACAGCAGCTTCAGACTCTGAGAAGATCCAGCTAATGCTGGATACGTTCCTTGAAACAAACTACAAGACTAACAAAAAAGGCATAAACTTAGCAACAGATGATCTAAACAAAGTTTTCTACCAGCTGACAAAACTATTAAAACTAAGGACATTAAGAACCAAAAAATCGAAACAAAAACCAAAGGAAATGTGGTTCGACTCAGAGTGTTTAATATCAAAGAAAACCTTACGAAAATTGTCCAATAGAAAACACAGAAATCAAACTGACCAACAAGCTAGACTAGAATATCTCCAAGTACTTCAACAATATAAAAAAATAATTAGCACTAAAAAAAGCAATACATGAAGTATGAATTCAGTAAAATGGAAAAAGCCATTAATGAAAATTCCTTTTGGAATCTTTGGTACAAATACAGTACAGCCCATTCCAAAACTACCCCAATAAAAAATGGCAAAACGTGGAAAACATACTTTGAAGAGCTTTATAAAAATCCAGAATGCAATAATTTAAATTCAAACAATCTCAGAAAAAAATTAGAATCAGCAATAAAAAATAACCTGTGCCCTCTAGATTATCCCATCACCATAGAAGAGCTACAAGAAATACTCACAGCTCTTAAAAGTGGAAAAGCATGTGGAATCGACAACATTAAGAATGAAATGTTAAAACTCAGTAGTCCTAAATTACAACTGGCCATCCTAAAACTGTACAGTCTAGTGGTCAAAAGTGGAATTTTCCCTGTGCTCTGGAATAGAGGCCTCATTACACCAGTATATAAAAGCGGTGATAAATTTGACCCTCGTAACTACAGAGGTGTCTGTGTGAACAGCAATATAGGCAAAGTCTTTAGAGAGATTATTAGCATATTTAATGGAACATAACGCACTATCAAAAGGACAAATCAGCTTCTTACCAAAACACAGGACAACAGATCATATTTACACCCTAAATACACTCATTCAAAAACACGTCCATCGCAAAACAAAGGAAATATATTTGCTTGTTTCGTCAACCTTAAAAAAGCTTTTGATTCTGTTTGGCACATTGGACTATTCTTCCAATTACTCCAAACTGGTATAGGAGGAAAAGTCTATGATTTAATTAAATCCAAATATAATGATAACAAATGCGCAATTAAATTAGGGAACAAAAGAACAGAATTCTTCAAACAAGGACGTGGAGCATCAAGGCTGTAACTTATCCCCAACCCTCTTCAACATATACATCAACAACCTGGAACAACCCTGGAACAACCATCAAATGTAGGATTAGAACTGAATAAGGAAGAAATAAAATTCCTTTTATACGCAGATGATTTAGTCTTGTTAGCTCCTGCAGCACAAGGCTTACAAAAACACAAACTCATTAGGAGACTACTGTCAAAATTGTGCATTAGACATCAACATCAATAAAACCAACATTATGATTTTTCAAAAAAAAGCCAGATCACACAAATCAAAATTCCACTTTACGTTTGGCGAGACTTTATTACAGCACTATGGAATATAATTACTTAGGACTAATAATCAATGCATCTGGTAACTTTAGCAGGACAATGAATGCACTGATAGAAAAAGCAAGA